AACAATGTTGCAAAAGGCAAGAGTTCCTTTTTTTTCGTAAAGTCAGTATTTTCATTCTCACTTTACAAATAAAGAACTGAAAGCATAGAGAAATTTAATAATTCATCCCAAATTACAGCTTGTAAGTGGCCGCTCTAGGATAGAAACCCATGCGGTCTGATGTGAAGGCCCTGCACTTAGCCAGATATATACCACATATGTGGGGTTGATCCGTTCCTATCTGGGCACTCCTTCAGGGGAGCCATCATATCATATTCACCCCAAAGCTGGACAGTGCCTGGGACTTAGCAAACACTTAGAGTATGTGTTCACAAAATGTTAATGGCCACACCACTGAGCTACACCATTGCTCTTATAGCCAGCGAGTCCTAGACCAAAGCGACCATACAAAAAGTTTTGTGGTCCCTTGGATGTTATGGTCTTTTTAAGTTGTACTCATTTTTTGGAATTATGCTTGTGTTTGTTGCAATGACTGCCTTTCAGACCCCTGGTCTCCACACTGAGATTGTAAAGCCATCTTTGCCCTGTAACTCCAGGGTTCTAGGTCAGAACTTGGAAACCTGTTCCATGGTTCGACTGCTCACAGAGCTCTAGCATTCACTCTTTTGTATTCTGTGTGTCTAGATTTCTCTTCTTCTTCTAACCTGCTTAGCATAATAGACAAAAGTATAAACTTAGGAGTTAGAAAGATTTAAGCTCAAATTCCAGCTGTCTTTTCTGGCCGTATTTCTTGGTCAATTATCTAATCCTCCGAACATGTTTCCCAACTTTTATAATGGGAATAGTAATACTTACATTACTTACATCACTGGTGGAGATTACTTAAGATAATTTATAAAATTGTCTAGGATTAACTTAGCATAAATGCTTAGTAAACTGTATAATTATTATAAGTTCCTTTAAGAAATATTTGGCATCTAATAGTGTTTTACACATAGGTGCTCAATCATGTTTGATAAAAATAAATTAGGATCCAACAAGAGGCCTTTAAAGGCAAAATACTACTTCTCTGTCAAAATGATTGCTTCAGAAGGTAAATCATGATTCGGGTTTTTTAAAATAACACTTTTCCTGAGATATAATTCACATACCATAAAATTCAATCTATTTTATTATTATTGATTTTAGAGGGAGGAAGAGAGAGAGAGAGAGAGAGAGAGAGAGAGAGAGAGAGAGAGAGAAAGAGAGAGAGAGAAAGAAAGAGAGAAACATTGATGTGATAGAGAAACATCAATAGATTGCTTCTCCTATGCACCCTGACCGGGATTGAACTCACAACCTTCTGGTGCATGGGGTGATCCAAACACTGTTCAGGGGGAAATTGTACCTTTTAAAGTGTGCAGTTTAGTGGTTTTCAGTATAATCACAGAGCTATGCAATTAAGTTATTGTTATTATGGTGTCTGTGTCCTTAAGTAAGTTTCCTCACTTCTCAATGTTCCATTTCCCCCCTATAATAGCTATAAGGTGTTATTAGTGCCAGGGCACAAGTGGACACACGTCAGATAATTTCTGCTGCAATTCTGGAGAACAGTGTGGTTCTACCAGGGCCTGCACACCGTTTGGAAAGGAACCAAAAGTGATGGTTTCTAAGGATCACCTTGATGAGACCCGCAGAGGTTTTCGCCTGCCTGGGTTCTGAGAGGTCGTTTGGCCCAAGGAAGCAGAGGCCTGGGGCCCAGAGGTAGTCTCAGCTACACCATTTCTCTGGATGTGGGCCTCGTTCTACTCTTCTCATGATCCTCTGCTCATTCCACATCCACACGGCTCTGGGTTCTCACGGGTGATCCCACTTGGATTTTAGGCCCAGTTGAGGAAGCTTGTGCGCTATTGGCTACTGGATTGTCTTTAGAGGGAAGCTCTATCTTAGAATGTTAAAAATCACTCTAATTATACCTGGAAAGTCCCAGATTTTGGATTTTCCACTGGATGTCAGCTGAATTTTATTTTTATGTCACATCCTATTCAAGGGAGGCCTTCTTCAGCTTAAGGTCTGTGCCTATCATAAGAAGCAAACATTCTCTCTGTGCTGGAACCACTATATTGAGGTTTCTCAATGAACTCAACTTAGAGCAGATATGTGAGAGTTGATCCAGGAACACTGGTACATATTAAATCTCTCTTTTCTCTAAAAGCAGCTTAGGAAGCTTCTCTTAGCTCACAGTATGATGAAGTGGGGAGAATGTTGACTTTGCAGGAAGACAGATAGTCTGTATCACAGCTCCAACATAACCACCTGTAACACCTGGGGCGAGTTTCTAAATGGGAGTCTCTGTTTCCACACCTGTGCAATGAGGATAATGTTAGATATGTGAGCATTAGATGAGGCAATATTAGAATAATGCTCAGCAC